TGGCGCGCTTTTGACATCGCGGTTTTAGCGCCGCGGTGTTGTTGGCGCGCTTTTGACGTTCGCGGTTATGTCGTGCCACGGCCTAGAATAAATTAAGGCATTTAAATATTTTGAAATTATTTTCAATCTTTTCCAGTTTGAAAAACAAAATAAAAGTTGTTGCTGACCAGGCCTACAAAACTGTTAATGCTATTACTTATTTGGTATCATCAGATGTAGAAATTATGTTCCTGCTGATATAAATATTTTTAATTCGAAGCTGATCAGCCATTTGCCATGTGGCTTCCAGACTTGTAGTTGCAAAGATTCAAAATCTTTGGAACTGGAACAGCCAAAATCCCTAAGAGCCATGCCCTGAGTTCCCAGGAATATTTCCATTTTTATTGCCCATGGCAGCTGCACTAGCTTCTCTAAAGGCTTACAAGAGGGTTTGACATTTAAAATTCTGGCTAAAATTTGAAATTTCCCCTTCTCTTTCTTTTAATTGTCTTGGAACTTGTCTTTGACCATAAATAAAATTTGTCCTATTTTTAAGTAAAAGAATATAAAAGATACCTTTCTAATGCCTTATTTAACTATTAAAGGTATAATTTTTACATATATTAAATCCTAGATCCATATCAATGGAAATATTCTGGAGACACAGATTTGAAAAATATTTTTATGTAATTATATATTTTTGGCATAGATGGGAATATATGAAACAAATTTATTAAAATATCAAAAGCAAAAGATAATGGTTTAATATTCAGGTGTGATGGTATTATACTTTCCCAAATAGTTTGCTTGGTAGTGAACCTTGAAGTTACTACTCAATTAGCTGTTTTAATGCTGGAGATATTTTATATATTTCCAAGATCTATTAAGATGTCATCTATCAAATAAGCTTTTGAAATTATTATTTTTATGACAGCAATGTATGAAAACATGATATTTTAAATGGAAGACTTTATATTTAAAGAGTCTGTGAATGGGCTTTGTATATATGTCTTGGTTAAGGTGACCAGATTTTCAGATTGGTAAAGAGGGACACCATTGACCGGGGGGGGGGGGGGGCAGCGGCTTGATTAAAAATTTTATATTTTGTCAAAAGGTCACACAAGGCGATTATATGACCCCAGGACACTGAAAGCATCATAAATATGAATCTGTNTTCTCATTCTGTTCTGTTCTACTCTACTCTATTCCTAATTCTATTCTTATTCTTATTCTATTATTCTATTCATTATATTCTATTCTCTAGCTTGGAGCCAAACAGGGTTTGCAATAATCAGAAGCGACAATTTTCCTGGAAGGTGATAAACAGCATAAGAGTCATCCTAATAACAACAATGTTATGCATTGTGAATAGAATCTAATTAAATACAGACAATCCATGACATATAACAGTTCATTTAGTTCATTTAGAAGTTATAACAGCAACGAAAAAGTCATTTACGACCGTTTTTCACACTTACGGCCATTGCCCCATCCCCATGGCCACGTGATCCAAGTTCAGATGCTTGGCCACTGCCTCATATTTATGACGGTCGCAGTGTCCCAAGGTCACGTGATTTCCCCTTTTGCGACCTTCCAACAAGACAAGCCAATGGGGAAGCCGAATTCACTTAACAACCATGTGAGTAACATCAACTGCAGCGGTTCGCTTAACAACGGTCGTAAAACGGGGCAAAACTCACTTGAGTGCTTCACTTAGCAACATAAATTTGGGGCTCGATTGTGGTCATAAGTCGAGGACTACCTGTTTCCCAGGAACAATTCCCAGTAGCCTTAATGGCCAAACTGGTTTGCACCAACTGGGAGATCTCACAGTTGCATCGGCCATATCCCCGTGTCCTTTGGACTCAGGATGATGGGAGATGTAGTCCTGGATTTATGACTGGCGGCTTAGCGTCCGTTCCAAACCACTAGAAAGATCTGGATTAGAAGATCAGGGTTTTCCCGCGGTCACATGATCGCATTTGTGTTTGCATTTATGGCTTTCCACAGTGACCTGATCTCAATTTGCGACGTTTTCTTGTTTAAATTTGCTGGAAACTCGACATTTCCTTCCAGTTTCCAGCAAAAGTCGCTCGTGGCAGACGATGGTTTCGCTTAACGGCGCTGCAAAAAAGGTCATCAAATCAAATTAGTCCCATGACGGCTCTCCTAACAGCCGCCATGCTTTACAACCGTCGTTCCGGGCTCAGCTGCAGTTGTAAGCCGAGGAGTACCCGTCACAATCACGGGTGCGCTGTGCAGGCCCAAGCATGTCTTTTAACAGCAGCAAAATAAAATAAAATAAATAAACGTTGGCAACATTTTGTCGCTGCTCACCTTTCTGTCTCGCCCAGAAGTTGAGCTGCAATCCTGCAGGAATTTTTTTAATTTAGTCAAACCGGTGATTTCCTTGTGGTCCCCTCTCCCCGTGTCTGAGCTGTGGAGCCCAAGTGGAGAGGCGCTGCCCCCTGGTGGCTCCAAAGGGAGCACGATGGAGCACGAACGAGCAAGCGAATGAGATGGTTAAAACAAAAGAAAAGGCCTCTTCCAAGAATGACTCAGGTTCAAGTTTTGCTTGATGATTTCATGGCTTCAGAGAGGCAAGTTACAAGTCCTTATTGATGTGCGTTAATTAACTGTCTCGGAGATTTCATGACAGCCAGCCTCCAGAAAAACAAGGTGGATTATTTTGTAGCCGTGCCAGATGGGAGTCTTCTTGCCCGGGGAATATATTAAAATATGAATGGAGAAATCTGAGATCCTTGTGCTCAGGAGTTAGAGACTATAGCTTTCCTTGTCATTTGCGGCTTGGCTCGCTTGCTTGAGCCAGCTAGAATTGTCTTTTTCCCCTTAGTTTCCCCGGGTTCCTCTTTAATCGACCACAGGGTTGACTTAACAACCGTGGACCGTCACAAAATGGGTCGTAAATCCAGATTGGTCACGTGGCCGAACCATTTCAGAAATATCAGGTGGGCTCCTTTTATGGTCGTAACTCGAGGACTGCTTGTCTTCTGTCCCATTCACAGTAACGAGGGAGTCCTCCACTTACAACCCTTTGTTTAGTTTTCACACTTATGACCGTTGCGGCATCCCCGTGGTCGCATGATCCAAATTAAGATGCCTGGCCACTGATCCCTATTTACGACCCGGGGTCACGCGATCCTCTTTTTACGATCTCCCCACCAGCAAAGATACTGGGGAAGCCAGATTCACTTAACAACCATGTTAACAGATGACAGGTTCACAGAGCTGGAAGGGACCTTGTAGGTCATCTAGTCCAACCCCCGCTTACTTAATGTTCCTAACTTCACGACGGCAGCAATTCCCTGAAGAACTCCGGCAGGAAAGGTCATACTAGGGGAAGAAACTCAACCCATGTCTCACTTAACGACATACTATTTGGGGGGGTTGTAAGTCGAGGTCTAGCTTTATTCCGGGTGGAAAAACAACGGGATCTGAACTCCAACCCCGTAGGGGGCGAATAGCAGACGAAGCAAGCTTTTCCAGGAAAACTTTTTCGTGAAAAAATAAACTTTGTTCTTCGATATATATATTTTTTTCCCCCGTCAAAAGTTTGTGCCACATTCCACACACCTTCACTCTTGTTCCCTTTCCTGGAGTCGATGTACTTTCTTCCCCTTTAACCCAATTTCCCCCCCGTCCTTTGCCTGCCCCAGTCCTCAATTTTTGTTTCCAGTTCACCCCCCTCTCCAAACCAGCGTCAAACTTTAACCAAACCAGCTGCTTGTCTCTTTTCATAAATAATCCACGCAAAACACCCTTTCCGAACAATTTGGGCTTTGCGGGAAACCGAAGGGTCAACTCGGCAGGAGTTGGCACAAACAGGACAGTTTTCTCTTTCAATGCGGGCGAATGCCAAGAATCTCAATATTTTTGTTCACCCTTTCTTCGTTGGAAGGCACAATCCTGGGACTCCGAAACCCTCGGCCAGGTCCTCCAATCTTTTCCCGGCGAAAAGGCGATTCAATAGTCTTTAAGGGGTGAAGGAGAGGAAAAACGGGTTTTTTTCTGATCCTGGAAACGGCGCTGATCGGTCCTCTTCCGCACCGTCGGATGAAGGACGAGGGATGCTTTGAACTTTTTAGACCTTGTTTTTAAGACAATCCCCCTAGAAAAGCGGTTTGTTTCCGGCAATCTGACTTTGCTAAACCTAGTTCTTCGAATCAAAAAAAAAAAATCGTGGATATTCTTTTAGCTTGGATCTTTCTTTTTTAAAGGAATTCTATTTTTCAAGTCAGGTCATTTTACAACCCTCTTCTTTTTTTCTCCTCTTTTCTCCATCACTCCATCTCTTTTCTCTTCTCCATCTCTTTCTCTTCTCCATCTCTCATCTCTTTCTTTTCTCTCCTCCCATCTTTTCTCTTCTCCATCTTTCACTTTTCTCCTCCACTTTACCTTCTCCATCTCTTTTTTTCTCTTTTCTCTTCTCCATCTTTCTCTTTTTTCCATCTTTCTTTTCTTCATCTCTCCATCTTTTTCTCTTTTCTCCATCTTTCCATTTTCTCCACCTCTTTCTCTTTTTTTCTTTTCTCCATCTCTTTCTCTATTCTCCAACTCTCCATCTTTTTTCTCTTTTCTCCATCTCTTTCCCTTGTTTCTCTTCCCCATCTCTTTCTCTTTTCCCTTCTCCCTCTCCCCATCTCTTTTCTCTTCTCCATCTTTCACTTTTCTCTTCTCCATCTCTTTTTTTCTCTTTTCTCTTCTCCGTCTTTCCATCTTTCTCTTTTTTCCATCTCCATCTTTCTTTTCTTCATCTCTCCATCTTTTTTCTCTTTTCTCTGTCTTTCTCTTTTCTCCACCTCTTTCTCTTTTTTTCTCTTCTCTCTCTCTATTCCCTTCTCCAACTCTCCATCTTTTTTCCTCTTTTCTCCATCTCTTTCTCTTTTTTCCACCTCTTTCCCTTGTTTCTCTCCCCCATATCTTTCTCTTTTCTCTTCTCCATCTCCCCATCTCTTGTCCTTCTGCTTTATTCAATCTATTCAATCTATTGAATAGAATCAATCTATTCAAATAGAATTCATCCCGGGAGCAAGATCTGGCCTGTAGATTTTTTGAGGAGAGCCCTCCGAGGATCTTTCTGGACTCAACATGGCTTTTGGGGAACTCCTGGAGCAAGTCGGTGGCATGGGACGGTTCCAACTTATTCACACAATGCTGCTGACCATTCCAATCTTGTTCATGGCCAGCCATAACCTTCTCCAGAACTTCACGGCCGCTATCCCAGGGCATCATTGCCAGGTACGCCTCGCCCCCAACGGCAGTGAGTACCCCAATATCACTCATCCACAACTTCTCCGGGTCAGCATCCCCATGGACAGCAAGAAAAGGTTGGAAAAATGCAGGCGCTTCACGGACGCTCAGTGGGAACTCCTCAACGCGAGTGTCACCCGGGTGAACGAGACGGAGACCGAGCCGTGTGCCGATGGATGGTTTTATGACCAGACTCAGTTTACGTCCACCATCATCAGCGAGGTGAGTGACACACCGGGAGGGCGATGAACTGTGAGAAGTATTACTTGGAGGGAAAATAAAATTGTGATAGGGAGAGATTCTCAGAGCCAAGGCATGTGTCTATCTTGGGTGGAGGGATGGGGTCTCTAACGATTTTGTCATCTTCCTGCTGTTCTTTCCTGACCTAATCAAAATGCACAGGTAGAGTCTAGGTGGGACCTTGCTCAATAGTAGTAACTCCGAGAGGGATCTTGGAATCCTAGTGGACAACCATTTAAATAGGAGCCAGCCGTGGGCAGCAGCTGCCAAAAAAGCCAACACAGTTCTAGGCTGCATAAACAGAGGGATGGAATCAAGACCACGTGAAGTGTTAATGCCACTTTACAAGGCCTTGGTAAGGCCACACCTGGAAAACTGCATTCAATTTTGATGTAAAAAAGATGCTGAGATTCTAGAAAGAATGCAGAGAAGAGCAAGAAAGAGGATTAGGGCACTGGAGGCTAAAACATACGAAGAACAGTTGCAGGAACTGGGTATAAGGAAAAGAAGGACCAGGAGAGACAGGATATCAGTTTTCCGATATCTCCGGGGTTGCCACAAAGAAGAGAGGGATCAACCTATTCTCCAAAGCACCTGAAGGAAGGACAAGAAGCAGTGGATGGAAACTAATCAAGAAGAGAAGCAACTTAGAACTAAAGATAAGTTTCCTGAAAGTGAGAACAATTAACCAGTGGAACAACTTGCCTCCAGAAGTTGTGAATGCT